AAAGGCTTGATCAAGAGGCTCGAGGGGCTCGAAAGGCTCGAAAGGCCCGATCGAGGCGGGCTGGCCTCGCTTGGGGTGAAGCTAGTTTCAGCCACGTCAGTAGGTCAGACTCTGAGGCCTGGGCTGGGCAGGCTGGGCTAGGCCTTACTTGGGTGGGTTGCTGGTTGGGCTGGGCCTGAGGCGTAGACCATTTTATCGCCGTTTTATCAAGCCAAGGCCCGCAGGCCATTTTATCAAGCCCGTAGACCATTTTATCGCCCGTAGGCCATTTTATCAAGGCCAATGGCCGTTTTATCAAGCCAAGGCAGCCCGTAGACCATTTTATCGCCCGTAGACCATTTTATCGCCAATGGCCGTTTTATCAAGCTTTTATCAAGCCAAGGCAGCCCGTAGACCATTTTATCGCCCGTAGACCATTTTATCGCCCCCCTTGCCCGTAGACCATTTTATCGCCGTTTTATCAAGCCAAGGCAGCCCGTAGACCATTTTATCAAGCCGTAGACCATTTTATCGCCGTTTTATCAAGCCAAGGCAGCCCTCGTAGACCATTTTATCAAGCCCGTAGACCATTTTATCATAAAAAAGCTCGACCTTTTCGGATTACAGTGTTGGGATTCCCCTATATAGAAAAACTTTCGAAGCTTTGGCGGTCTTCGCTACTCGCTCTCGACATTGGCTAGGGCGCCACCACACTGTGTTGGCGGACCCTAAACCCTAAACTTTTAGTGGCTGCCGCCATATGCGCCAACACAGGTGTAAGGTTGTGTGTCGATCTTAGTGTTGACAGACCGGTCAAGCGACATAAGATCGATGCTCAATTAAGCCGTCTATCGAGCTATGTGACTTACAAAGTTTAAGCTTGCCTCAATTTAGACTAGACCAACTTTTCAAGCTCGAGATGATAGATTTAAACTGTCCATTGAATCGGGCGAGACTGAGGCTTAAACTTTTCATTGATGGAGCATCAAACGTTCTAAACGCTTAAGCTGACCTCGCCCCAAATTGATCAACGCCGCAAACTCGAGGTCGGAAACGTCGTAGTCTGTCAATTTGTTAGTAGATTTAAATAAGAAGCTCGAGACGGCATATCGAGATATCTATAGATATATTTAGCGATTGAACGTCAGGCGTTTGAAGCGCTCGAACAAGCCTGCCTCCAAGGTAGGTTGACACCTCAAACTCAAGATCGCGAACATTGCCGCTCGACACAAATGCTAGGTTAAGCTTGCTTGCCGGACCCGAAGCTAGACAAATCAGACAGGCCTGGCCAGCAGGTGGTTGGGCTGTTGGTTGCCGGGGCTCGCTTGTTTCACGCGTCAGTAGGTGGTTGGGCAGCCAGACTCTGAGGCCTGGGCTAGGCCTTACTTGGGTGGGTTGCTGGTTGGGCTGGGCCTGAGGCTAGTCTCAGACATGTCAGACAGGCCTGGCCAGAGGACCTCGGGGTAGGGTCGGTCCCCCGCCTTAGCCTGCTGGTTCAACTCATCAACGGAGTACCTGGCCCATGGGAGTCCACCCACCTGGTGGTTCCTGGGATGCGTACCCTTCTCCAGCGCCTCCGGATTCACCTTGGTGAGGTTGTTGGCCCAGTCCGGGACGTGTACGGGGCCCGGTCGTCGGACCCAGCGGCCCGCAAAGATACGGACCTCTCCGACCCGTTTGCTCATCATCCAGCGCAGGACCGCGAGCTGCACCTCCGGGTCCTGGGTATCCAGGCCCCCTGGGGTGGCAGACGGCTTGTCAGGGCCCTCGGCACCTGAGCTCGTCGCGCCAGAGCCCGAGGCTGGGGGGATGGTGGGCTGCCTGTCAGGGCCCTCCAGAGCCCCCCGCCTTTGGAATGGGGATCCCCGCCAGATCCGGCAGATCTGCCAGGAGGGCCGCCGGAAAGGGGTTCCTACCCAGCGAGATGACCGCCTTGGCTTCGAGGTAAGAGTCCGTGAGGGACGTGAGGTCGTCCATGCTGAAATCCCTCCATGCCGTGGTCGGCTCAAAGACCCCCGTCTCAATGGCAACTCGGACCTCGTTAGGCCACGCACTGAATGGAGGCTTGATGGGCTCGAGCATTCTGGTCTCGTGGGCGCCCTTCGCTTGTCTGGCCTGGTGCTTTGCCTTCGCCTCCTCCGCAGTGGTCTGGGCCTGGAGGAGCTCCGGTGTGGGCCTCCCCCAGTCCGCGCCCAGCTTATCCAGCAGTTTTTCGCGGAAAAGGTCCAAGTCCAAATTCTTGAGGAGTAGGCCCCCATCGCCTCCTCCATCAATGGCCCCTCCTTGAAGCTCGTGGAGGACCGCCGCGGATCGCTCCACCGCTGCCACCTGGTCTGCCTTCTTGGCCTCCTCCTGGGCAATGGTGGTGGCGTTGAGCCGGGTCTGGATTTTGAAAGCCTTCACCGCCGACGGGTGGAAGGCCCTGCATTCCTGGCCCTCTTCCTTGTCGCCCGGCAATGGAGGCCTCTCCCCCATTGGGGCCGTCAGGAAATCCTCGTCCAGCTCCATGGGGCAGTTCCTGATCACCGCCCGGACCGAGGAGGGGACAAAGTCCGAGAAGCTGGCCTGGTCCGGGTTCTCGCATGCCATCGGGTCGGTGGCCAGCTCGCTGACATCCACCGAGGCGCTGAGCTTGAGGTCGCGGGCCCGGTCCGTATCAGGGCCATCGGCACCTGCGGACCGGGCCGCCGTCCAGACCGCATTGCCCTGGTCATCCACCGTCAACTGCCAGTGCGTGCCCGCCATCTCCAGGGTGGCCGAGTTGGTCGCCATGTCAATGGGCTCCGTCTTCTTGCCGCACCCCATACACTTCCTGGCGCCCTTCTTCACCCAGGGCATGGTGCAGCAGGGGCAGATCCAGGATGTGGGCTCCTTACCCAGGGGGCGGTTCTCCAGGCCCCCATACCCCAGGCCAGCGCGCTTGCCGACCTGCTGTCCCGGGGTGCTGAGCCGGGCCTCATGCTCATACTTCATCTTGGCGATGTAGAACGCCTCCACCACACGCTCCAGGCCCCCCTGCTTGAGTTGGGGGCCCTCAAAGCCTCTCAGGAGCCGCTGGACGTCCTTGGCCTGCAGTCGGCGGAGCCTAGTGGCCGTGGTCGCATCAAAACACGGGAAGTCGCCCGCCATCTGGTCCGCGCTGAATTGGTAAAGGCCCTCAGAGACTTTGAGGGCCTTGGTGAAGACGCTTCCCCCCGGCGGGGGGGCTGCGGGGTCCTCATCCTCCTCCGAGGACGCCTGCTCCCTGACCTTCGCCATCAGATCACGGCGTCTCTGCCACTTGGTGTCGGACATCGGGAGCTCCTCCTCGTCTTCCGCCAGGAGTTCCTCCATGGGAACATCCTTCTCCGGCGGGTTTAGGAGCTCCAGGAACGCCCCTGGGGGGCGTGTCAGGGCCTTCGGCACCTGCGCCACCCCAGGGGCTGAGTCTGCCATCAGCTCGTCCTCTGCCTTGCGCTTGGCTGGGATGAGTGGGGCCTGCTCCAGCTCATCGGCGCTGGAGAAGAACCGCTCGTCAGGTGCCTGAGGGACCTCAGCAGCCAAGACGGTCCATCCTTCTTCCTCCTTCTTCACGAGGCTTGCCAGGTACTTCGCCATGGAGGCCTTTGCCTTCGCCTTGGCCTCTGCAACCGCGGCACCAGCGTAGGCGGGGGCGTACATGGCTTTGATAGGAGGGGAAAGAAAGATTTCAGATTACAAGACAGAAGGTCAGAGTCCACTTGAGCCAAAATGGTGGCCCAAGTGGACACTTATGAAGAGTCAAGACAAGCGACCACCTGCGGTTAACGCTTTAGCCCAGTATATGTATGTGATATGTAAGTATTACATAGCATGCCCCTGCCATTGATCGACTGATCAGCTGTGCAATCAACAATAACCATGTTGGGCTGCGCCAGGCCAACTACGTAACATGGAAGTGCAAAAAGGCCCTTTCCAAGAGGAAAGTAGTCTTTGTACCGGGGTCTGTGCTCTTCCATGTTAGCTGGTGGGAGGGTAAATATGCTCTCTTAAGGGGTAGCGATACTGAAAGCAACAGCGCTGAGTAGGAGCAGTGCATAGCATTGCACAACCGCTTCGCTGCATAGGCAGTTGGTGCATGCAGTGATTCGTGTATTGGTGAGGCATCGTGCGTCAATGGGCATATTCTTCGGCAAGACCATCCAGCAATCTCAGTGTCATTCTGCATTGCATGCAGAATTTGTCGCAGCTTAGGGTTCAGCATGTTTAAACAGATGAAGCAAAATTATGTTGCAACACACCATAGTGCACCGCAAAGCAGCCGGACATTTCTGCAAGGGCGACTTCAGCATTCGCCCTCTACAGTTCAGAAATGGCCCTTTTTACTGCACCAGATGTGAACGGGACGGCGACTTCATTGGGGTTCCGCCCGCAAAACTGGGACTTCTCTCAAGGCAAATCAAGAGGACCCCCACCCCAATTCTGGAGTTCCCCGCCCCCAAGCGGTTTTCCTCCTTCCCCGAGAAACCCTTGGTTGCACCATCGAAGAGACGGTAGGTGCCGCCCATGGGCACGCCCTCAGCGACTCGCCATGGAAAGTGCCGAACTGGTGCTTGGTGTTGCCAGCCCGGCGCTGTTGTGGCACGTTTCCACAGTACACGGTTGATCTGCAGGTCGAAACTTCAGTTCTGTGAAGCCCATCCCCGCAAAAAGCAAAAAATGAAAGGTTCCCAGGACTTTTGGGAAACGGGCTGGTCAAGGCTCGTAGATCCGATCTGGTGACTCAACCCGCACTGCGAGAGAGCTCGCCGGCCAGCCCCGAAGATCAACTCAAAAAGGTCCGCGCCACTACGCGGACAACGAGACCTTATTCGTTGTAGCCTCAGCGGTATCTCACTTTTCAACACATTACACCATGTCGCCGAAAAGAGGATATTCGTATAAAACTCTTGTGTGTTGCGTAGCTTCTGGCTCCCTTGACTGCGCGAACCGCTTTGCCCAGATGCGTGGCTTCCCAAAAACAACCGTCCCAATCGGATCCCAGCATCCCCTCAGGCGGGCGCCGCCATGACGGCCTCCCCAGCGATCTCATTGTGACCTGCGAGCTGCGCACGAAATCGCCTTTCGGCGTCTCAGTTTCATTTTGACGTCATCCGCAGCCTGTAAGCCCAGATATGTCATCAGGGTCCGACGTTGCTCAAAACAGAAAAGAGCAGTCAGTACACTAAACATACAATGTTGCAGCAAGTAATTACGAATGTTCCACCCAACCCCCCCCACTGCTTCTACCGTTTGGCCCATGTCCCTTCAGGCCCTTCAAAGGAGTCCGACCTGGCAGCGCGCCATAGAGGTGGTTGTAGGGGTTGAGGTGCTTGGCCAAGATGCGCGTCTCAGCAAAGGCATGGGGAAGGCCACTTTGAGGAATTTGCCCCTGGTTGAGGCATCCTTTGGTGCGAGCAAACGGTCGATTTGTTGAAATCACTCGAAAATGCGATTTGGTCACACCGTGAGACACCCTGCACCCGGGACAGCCCTGTGCGCATTCTGGCCCATCTCCATAAGCTGCCCTCCACAAGATACATGATGCCAGTCTAATGCAGCATTGATATGATTGCTGGTCAAACAAAGAGGTGTCACCCCACCAAAGCAGAATGACCCCATGCTGGCCTGTCGCTTGGTGTTTTCCAAAATCAAAACATTGTAAGCCCAAAGCTTGAAGATAACGACATGCCATTGGCCAGTTGGCAAAATGTCCCCCGTGTGCGCCTCAGATTTGGTGTAGAGGTCCTCAAAAGCCTTCGTCGGCACGGATACCACCACATCCTGCCAGCGGCTTGGAACCCGGCACAAAGCGCGTACACTGTCGAAACTAGGGACTCCCCATGGTTGTGCTCATGCTGGTCGCCTCTTAGACCTGCGACACAGGTCCCAACAAAGCTTTCCTCAACCGGCATGATAGTTGATGGGGAGTCTCGGTACTTGCGCCTGATCCCACGCGCGTTTTTGTTGCTGAAGGTGTTAACGCCTGGCTAACAGACCAGTTCCTCTGGCGTTGAAAAATCCCGGAAGGAGGATTTGTCAGTTTGCCAAGCTCGCCCTGCAAGTGTCGACAGGGTGAAGTGCTCACTCACAAAGTGCATTCTCGCGCCTCGCAATAACAGTGAAGGATGAAGAGGGCGTAGCCTGCCGTCTCGCACGGCTTCCAAGCATCGATCTATGCGTCGCCAATCAGGCACCCCGAAGGGCCAGAATCAAAAGCTGCCGGTTTCCTTCCGCTCAAACCAGCGCCGTCCTTCTCTCAACCCCCCCTCCAACGAGGAGCTTATATTTGGTTCAGGCCCCAGGAAAAAATAAATTCAAACAAATCCAGTGGTGAATTCCTTTAAAACCAACAAGGGGGGGAAAAAACATATTCATTTCAGCAAATAGAGGGGAGCACTCCGCTTGCCCCACCTTCAATGATGATCACCAGGCTGAAGAAGGAAAGCCACAGCGCCCGCTCCACTCCGCATGCCTCGAGGCTCTTATGGCTCTTAGCTCTTAAGGTTTCTGGTCGCGATTTGACTCCTCCAGATTTGAGAGGTTAGAATATGTTGGTACCAACTTTTTCCAGTAGAGAGGCTAGAATCAACTTTTGTTCTCTCTATTTGAGTAAGGGGAACCCTCCCCCAAAAAAAAGAAACGGTGAAAGGGAACTACTGGGGGACCTAGTTAAGCGTCGTTGCCACGCGTTGCACGGGACATGAATCCAGGCCGATTTTTTTAAGAGGCAGCGGACTCATTTGGCTGTGGGTCAAAACCAATGGGATCCCATTTCGGGGTAGGTGCACCACCCGTTTTAGTCTATTTTAGTGCGGATTGGGATGTTCACTGACTGGCAGTACGGGCTTTTGACTCAACTCACGTGGCATAAGTCTGGGCTGCCAGGCAAAGGGACGCGCGGCGTCGCTCGCCAGGTTGTCTGGGATGTCTTCGCATCCGGCCTCAACAGGAAATCACCTTCCAAAGCAGCACCTTCTTGCTTGGGAGGTTGCCATACCCAGCAGCGGCAGTGCCTCCGACGGAGACTCGAAGCCACCAGACTTGGCAGCCGCAAACACAAATCTGGGCATCTGGCATGCAGGAGCGTTTCCCACAGCACGCCACCTCGCATCCGCTGAGTGAAAGTCACAACGCAGCCGCCAGGAGAACGAGAAGAATTGGAAAGCATCATGATTGGCCATCATGTGTGGCCACCCTGGCAAACAAAGAACGAACTGCAACCTCTCCTGAATGGGGCATGCCACATTTGTTAGGACCGGTAGGGAAGGGTCAAACAACTTCTTAGAACACAGCGAGCTTCAACATGCCTTCATGTAAAGCCGTCAAGCTGCAAGGCAACATTTCAAAGCTGTAGCCATGCCCACAACACAATCATGAAGAATCTGCACCAGGTGTACTCCTGAGTCGCCCTCTGTAAACAAATGCCAACCTCAGCCAGAGTAGACATCTTCAAAAGCGGTTTTTTTCTGAATCTGAGACGTCCAAGGGATCAGTATGGATCGCTGCTGTTCCATGAAAATCCCACAAGGTCCGCGCAAATATCCAAGCAGAACTGGAACACGAAGAAGTACCTGTCAGTGCAGTCCCACTGTTCTCTCTGCAACCGTTGGCTTCCAACCCCTAAGGGCTCTCCAAGCCCGGAGAAGTGTCTGCTCCACGAAAGGACCCTAAAATTCAAGGGAATGCTTGGCTTCGTCACACGAAAGGCGAGAAAGGTGTAGTCCTAGCGCGTCCATCAAGTTTGAGCCAATCCCGCAGGGTCGCGCTTTTATTTTTTTTTCGCCCGGCACCCTTCGACTTTGAGTCGCGGCATGTCGCGGCCAATAAAAGATCCATGGGCTGTAGCTTTCCCACACCCGCAGCGCGCTGGGGCCTGCGGCGGGCAAAGAAACGCAGCTCAAGGCATCCATCATGCTTGAGGGGGGGAGCAGCGTTCAGCGTGGATGCATCAACCTGTGGCTATGAATCAGGTGTGTCCATCAATGTCTTATTGGGGGGGGAAGAAATCAACGATGCCCCCTCCCCTACAAAGAATTGGATAAATGAGTCACAATCAAAACCCGGTACTAAAATGGCCCACTAAAATGGTCTACCCAGAACCATGTAACGAATTAAGAAGGCCACAGCTATTTATGGTTGGGATTGTCCCTTACCAACCTTCATCTACCCGGTTTTGATTGTGGCTCCAATGATGTTGGGTGGTGAGAGCCGCTGGAAGGAACGATGTGCATCCGAGCCTCTTGCTATGAATGCCCATTGCCGTTTGTGACCTTGTTGCCGTCGGGATTCTGTCGGATGACCATGCCGATGGAGCCTTGGCATCTGTTGGCATTTACACATCAGTGCAGTATGACACAAACGCCCTACATGCTTGTCGAAGCGGGTTGCAAGGAAGGTCTGATTGTGGACTCAAGCTCTGAACAACGTATGTAAATTCTCGATGCCCAAAAGAGGTTGCGGCTCCGACCCGCAGTCAAGCCACCTGCCGCACGGGCCACATCGAAGCTGGTTCCTGAGCCAAGAAAAAAAACACCCTCCCACCACTTAACAGGGAACCTGACAGCGGTCTCTGAAATTCTTCCTTTCAAGGGACCCGTCAGGTTCCGGCCGAATTGTGGGAGGGATGAAAATGGCTAGGATCAGAGTCCCGCCTGTGTAGCGTGCCCCACTTGCACGCAATCCCTGCACAGTTCCCGGACGCTTAGTTCCTTGGTACGGGGTTCCCAGGATGTCAATCCCAAGAGCAAATTTTCTGAGATGTTCGGCGCCTCACCAGCTCAGGCGAGCGACCAGCATCAAAACAGACGGCCGGATCCGTTCAGTTCCAGCTTTCTTTCGGGAACAAGCCGAAGCAGACCGGGCTTACAAGCTTTGTGTGTAAGGGTTTCCAGACCAAAGTTCAACCTGGCCTCCCCATTGGAAATTGTTTCTGGCCTCCCATTTCCGAATATCAACCACATAGGCGAGTCCCTCATATGTGGGATGACCTATCGCAAGAATCTGCACAACATGGGAATTATTTGCCATGAACGCCATTGTTCCATACTTCCAATCTGCTTGGAATCAGCCAAAACATGCTTTGCTTTCTGGTTCTGGTCAGTCAAAAAGCCCGTACCCCCAGTGGACATCACAATTCCCACTAAAATAAACTAAAATGGGTTGTGCATGTATCCCAAAACGGTACAATTGGTTTTGATCCATGGCCATTTGGTTGCTACCCTGGACTGAAAAGCAAATGGCTGTTGGAATGGCCAAACACGAGACAAATCGCGGGTTTGGCTCCTGGAAGCCCCCGACTTTGCAGAGGAACCAATCGAACACCTCCTCTTGGTCTCAACATGTCTGGGCGCCGGAAGCTTGGCGGAAGATCTGAGCCACTAGCTTGGGTTCGCAAAAGACACACATGCCCATGCCTAGCTGAAATAGAAAGGGCGGCAAGAGGAGCCCTCATGAAAACCACCCCCCAAACCTTAACATTGGATTCGTTTTTTCTCATAAAAAGAGCGGCAAGAGGAGCCCTCTGGCAAAAAACAAACAACTCTTGCACCACCACCCCAAACCAAAATTGGGGTAGATACACCTCAGGGCCACACGAAGTTCCCGCGCCTGGTGTCACTATGCAGCAGCAGCCCTCGTTGAGCGCCAGAGTGCCGCCGGGCACCGCGATGTGCGCGGTGCCCTTGAGCTGATAGAACCAGGTCCTCGGGCAAAACATGGGTCCGTGGTGGTCAATACTGTGGATGGACCAAATCCACCTGAGAAACTATGGGAAATCATGGTTGGTATTTACAGGGCAATCATCATTCCAGGGTTTCTTAGATGGTGCGAAATGGATTTCGTCCATCCACAGTAGGGTAACCCCAAAATGGACCCATGGCAAATGGGGCCAAGGGCTAAAACCTGCTGTCCAATTCCTGGTTTCATTTTGACCCATACCCACATTCTTCCCCTTTGACCCGAAAATAATTCAGAGTCACCAGAGGCAAACAACCCTCGAACAGCACCCCGCAACCTGAACCGC